CTCCATCTCCCAGGTCATGCATTCCCACACCATGCTTTGTGTTGCAATTAATCTTTTTTTTAGTAGGGATAGCTTTCATTCAGTTAGGCAAGCAAAACTATCCAACGCACACCATAAGCATTATTGCAAACACAAAGAGAGTAGGAACTTCTGTCAGGTCAAAGAATGCCAGAAATTACGTTTGGTAGTAGGATGTACTCAGATGAATTTAAGTAAATTGTAAAATTTTAATCGTAATTAAGTAAAAACCAGGAGCTATATGATTTAACGCCTCTCATGAAGAAATATGATAGATACAGATTCCTCTCAGCTCGAAAAGAGTAAGGAAGTCCTGTAATGCTGCACCTGGTCATGCCTTATTAGATAGCAATGTAGTTTGCTTAAAAATTCAGTTCTGTTCTGAAAAACAGATGTGCAAAAATAATTTCTTCATGCTCCATATCTAAAGACTATTATTAAATACTCTGTGTTTGAGAATCATGTATTTGCTTCTGTAAGTCCAAAATTAAAAATGCTTACTGTCTTGCTTGCTTACCTTAAGCCGGATGATATCCTCACCATCGAGGAATACTGCCATCTCTTTCCAGTTGAAGGAAGCTTTCTTTCTATATTTGGAGAGAGGCCCCTTAGGGAAATCTGGTAGCAAAGTATTCCAGGAACTTTGATTGCCAGTGGCTTCTTTCACATTCAGTATGGGTGCCATTGTTAGTCAAACTGCAACAAAGAAAATTTACTTAGTACACTGAAGTACTGCAGATTAAGAAATCAGAAGGGTTGTTAATTAAACCCACAGACTTGTTCTGTGGTGTAAGTGTGAGTAAAGCAGTGCAGAGCCAACAAAAAGCTTGGCTGTCCATCTTTGCATAAACTAAGGAAAAAATGCCTTTGATCAAATGTAGATAAATTACATAGTCTTTGTTATTAAAATGTGATCTAAACCTTTTAAATATAATTTAAAACAATATAAAGCAGGAACAGCACTGGTTAATATTCTGTATTAATAAAGGGGTGATCCAGGGAAGATAATATATTTCCATTTCCTTCAACTGAGTGAAGTAAGTAAGTATGAAAGCAGACTTCCCAAACCCACAAGATATTTATTCAGGAACTGTCATAATCATCTACTCTCGCACATCTGCAAAGTTCTCAAAAAAATAATCATTTGATATTAAGGCTTTTTTTGGTGTGGTGTTTTCTTTCTTTTTCAACTTGGCAATATGACCTATTTTGCAATATAAGCTAAATTTCTCATGCTTTCGGGAAACACAATAGAATTTTTCCCACTATCTAAAATCTGTACAAAGACTGTAAATCCTCCTAAGGATGCTTCTTAGCATCCTTAACAGCTAATTTGGCATTCTACTTTTTTTTGTCATTCCTTTTCTTCATCATCTTGATACTCCTCTTTCATTCATTTGGCTTCATTCAACCTACTAAGAACAGAATAAAAACGCAGCAGAGGAGGACTGCAGGACAATATTTCCATGTGCAACTTCTAGATGGCTTCCAGGTGCAGTTCCAGTGATGAGATGTGTAGTGGAAATGCTAAGTCACAGCTTGAATCAGTGATTGAGTACCTGATGGGAAGGCAGGGTCAACCCAGGGAGCTCAGCTGCATGCAATGCATCTAAGTTACCAGAATGGATGGAGACCAGATTCACCTCTTCCCAGACCTCATTTAAGGATTGGGCCACCCTGCTACTATCACTGTACTTTCCATTGCGTTACAAACTGGAACAAACAAAACCCAAACAACAACAACAAAAAAAAACCACCAAACTTCAGGCACTGGGAAAGAGCATTTCAGCCCGATGCCAAACAGACATTCACCTCCTACCAGCAAACAGAAGTGAACTGGAAAGCATTAAATCAGGCAGAAGTTCAAGGCTTCTAGCTCAGAACAGAGAAAATCTGGCATCAGAACACTGCAATTTTATTTAAAGGTGTCAGACTTTACTTACATTGCAGATCAGTGAGATTGCTGAAATGCTAAAACCTGTGCTTTCATGAAAAGAGTCCTGCACTGCAAAAAAAATTTTAAATTTTTCTCTACCTCCCCACTATGTTTTGATACAAGTTAGATCTAAGCAAGCAATCTTAAAATTAATTAGTAAATCAAAACTGGCAATTACAATAAGAAATACAGCTGAAGATGGCCCCAGAGAATCATTTCCATGCTGCTTTCAGCCCCATGGAACTGAGTTCTGCTGACGTTTTGAAATCAGCCGAAGTACATGGCAGAAAATAACAATATGGATTATTTAGAACTCACTGAAAATTGCTATAATTTCACACAAAAAATGCTGAGTTAAAAAGCTTTTTTATCTGGAAGTTAGTAATTTGTTAGTAGTTCAAGCTTAAGACTAGACAACCCTCTTCGGAGTTTCAGTTGTAGAATCTCTATTTGAACTGCCAAAATTCAGGTGACTTGATTTTTTTGGTTGAAGTGCAAAATAATGATTGAAGGAGGTGGTACTTTTTAATACCAAAGTGTGCTGAGATGTGCTTCCTCAAACAGAAGGGGTCAGAAAGGCATTTCTATATTGAGGTATTGCAGTCAGCATAAGTTGCACGTTATCACAGACTCATACAGTCATTCAGGCTGGAAGGGACCAAAACATCGTCCAGTTGCAAACCCAGTGCCATGGCAGAGCTACTAGCCATCAGATCAGGTTGCCCAGGACTCCCATCTAACCTGTCCATGAGCACCTCCAGGATGGAGCTTCTCACAGCTTCTCAGCCTGTGCCAGTGCTTTTACCACCCTGAGTAAAGAATTTCTTTGTAACATCAAACCATCTAACCTTGCCCAGGTTACCAAGAAGGCCAATGGCATCCTGGCTTGTACAAGAAATAGTGCTGCCAGCAGGAGCAGGAAAAATGATCGTCCTCTCTACTCAGCTCTGATAAGGCCAAGTACTGTGTTCTGTTTTGGGCTCCTCACTACAAGAAAGACATTGATGCCCTGGAATGTGTTCAGAGAAGGACAACAGAGCTGTGAGGGGTCTGGAGCACAAGTCTTACGAAGAGCGGCTGAGGGAACTGGGATTGTTCAGTCTGGAGGAGCCTCTGGGGAGACCCTATTGCTCTCTACAACTCCCTGAAAGGAGGTGGTGGCAAAATGGGGATTGGCCTCTTCTCCCATGGAACTAGCAAGAGGACTAGAGGGAATGGCCTCAAGTTGCACCAGAGAGATTTAGGTTGGACTTTAGGAAATACTCTCTCCAAGAGAGTGGTCAGGTGCAGGAATGGGCTGCCCAAGGAGGTGGAGGAGTCACTGGTCCCTGGAGATGTTCATGAAATATTTGGATGTTGTACAAAGGGACACGTTTTAGTGGGAAATATTGGTGGTAGGTGGATGGTTGGATGGGACGATCTTGAAGGTCTTTTCCAATGTCGGTGATTCTATGACTCTGTGAATCTTCCCTCTTCTAGCTTAATGCTATTCCCCTTTGTCCTGTCACTATCAGACTGTGCAAAAAGCTGGTCCCAGACCTGCTTGCAAGTTCCCTTCAATTACTGGAAGGCAGGAAAGAGCCTTCTTCCATCAGAAGAGGGGTGGCCAGCAGGGACAGGGAGGTGATTGTTCCCCTCTACTCTGCTCTTCTGAGGCCCCATCTAGAATACTGCATCCAGGTCTGGAGCCCCCAGTACAGAAAAGATAGGGAGCTGTTGGAGAGGGTCCAGAGGGAGGCAATGAAGATGATCAGGGGACTGGAGCACCTCCCCTATGAAGACAGGCCGAGGGAGCTGGGCTTGTTCAGCCTGGAGAAAAGAAGGCCACGGGGTGACCTCATTGCAGCCTTTCAGTACCTAAAGGGAGCCTGCAAACAGGAGGGGAATCAACTCTTTCAAAGGGTTGATAACTGCAGGACAAGGGGAAATGGTTTTCAGTTGAGGGGGGGGAGATTTGTGTTGGATGTCAGGGGGAAATTCTTTACAGAGAGAGTGGTGAGGTGCTGGAACAGGCTGCGCAGAGAGGTCCTCCCGTCCCTGGAGGTGTTCAAGGCCAGATAGGATGGGGCCCTGGGCAGCCTGGTCTAGCATTAAATGGGGAGATTCATGATCCTTGAGGTCCCTTCCAACCCTGGCCATTCTGTGATTCTGTGAAAGAGCCCTCCCTGGTGCCTTCTTTCCTCCAAACTAAACAAGCCCAAATTCCTCAGAAGAGAGTTGCTCCAGCCCTCTGATCATCTTTGTGCACCTCCTCTGCACCCACTCCAACAGCTCCATATCTTTATTGTGCTGGGGGCCCCAGGTCTGGACACAGTACTCCAGATAGGCCTCACAAAAACAAAGTAGAGGGAAAATCTCTCTGCCCTGCTGGACACTCCCTTTTTGATTCAGCCCAGTATATCACTGGCCTTCCAGGCTGCAAGAGCACACTGCTGGCTCGTGCCCAGCTTTTTACTCACCAGAACCCCTAAATCATTCCTTGCAGGGCTGCTCTCAATGACTGCTTCTTCCCTTCTGTACTTGTAATTGGGATTGCCCAGACCCAGGTGCAAGAAATTGCACTTGGCCTTGTTGAATCTCACTAGGTTCACACGGGACCACTTTTTAAGCCTGTCCTCTGGATAGCCTTCTTTCCTTCTATGGTGTCAACCGCACCACTCAGCTGAACCACTCAACTCACCACCATCAGCAAACATGCTGCGGGAACGTTCAATTCCGTCATCCACGTCACCGTTAAAGAGCACCAGTGCCAAGATGGACCGCTAGGAGACACTGCTCGGCCTCCACCTACACACAGAGCCACTGACCACGACTCTCTGGCTGCGACCACCCAACCAAACCCTTTCCCCACCTAATAGTATCTCCCGCATCTCTCCAATTAAGAGATGAGGTTTGGCAGAGCCACGCGAAACACCTCGCACAAGTCCAGCCGGCTGGCAGCTAATTAGAGGAGCGCACTGACACGCCGTTTACCTCCGCTCGTCGCCGTCTCCGCCTCGGGAAGTGACGGCAGCAGCCTGCGACGCTCCGCCTCCTCCTGCCGACCATGGTGCTGCTGGGCACGGCGGCAGTGCGGGGCAGCGGGGCGATGGTGCCCCGCGGCTTCTGGGCGGCGGTGCGCGTGTGGCTGGAGAAGCCGCAGGTGGCCAACAGGCGGCTGTGCGGCGCCGCCATCGAGGCGGAGGGCGCGGTGTTTTTCGGGGAGGATGGAGATACGTCTCCCCACCTCGGGGGCGGCGAGGAGCCGGCGGGGGCTGTGGAGCTGGGCCGGCTCTGGAGGGAGCTGCGCGGGGAGCTGCTGCCTTTCCTTGCGGCCGGGGCAGGTCGGGAGCTGCGTGCTGTGCTGAGGGTTCTGCTGCCCCGGGCGCGGCCCGCGGGGCTTCTCGCCCTGCCGGTGAAGGAGCTGGTGGTGCAAGGTGACTTGTTCAGGCGTTTCTGTTCTGTGGTGGGGCCGCACCGGCACTGAGTGGCGATAGGACAAGGGGAAATGGCTGCAAACTGAAGCGTAGGAAGTCTGGACTTTTGGAATCCGTGGGTGTTTTGGTTACTGTACCCACCTAGTATTCTAATTTTGGAGATCTGCAGTTTTTAGAGTGCTTTGATGATAGCAGGCAGTTTTCAGAGTAGGAAACATTATTCTAAAGAAATCCCCTTGGATAAGCAGAAGCTAAAAGCACTGCTGTAACTGGCATGTAAAGTAATAATGCATTGTGGCACAGCATAACTTCCATTAGAGTTATCTCTAGGAACAAAATAGAGAATAAATTAAGATAAATTAAGCATTAAGATGTAGCGTGTGATGCCATTTGTGCTGCCATCTCCTTTTTTTTATTGGTTGTTTCAAAAGACACTGTTCTTCCTTGTGTAGGAGTTAATTGTATAGGTCATGTTAGAAAATGAAATGCAACAGAAGTTCCAGAATAACTTCATGAAATATGGTAGAGACACTGAGGGGCATGGCCATCTGTTAGTCTGCTTATCTCAGCATTTCCTAAGCCTGTAAGTTTTGAAACTGTCCTTGGGCAAAAGCACTTTATTCCACAGGTGAGAGATACCATTAAGATCAGTAGTGTGAGCATAACTTCAAATGTTACATCACTTAACTTTACCTAAAAGCAGACCTTCTCAGGCAGTACCAAACAAAATAATTGCTGATAGTATTACTGATTAGTTGATAACATTGCTCTGATAGTTTGCCTAATGTTAGAGTGATACATACAATCATATAATCATAGAACGGCTTGGGTTGGAAGAGACCTCATCAAGCTCCAACCCGCTGCTGCAGGCAGGGCCACCAACTTCCACATTTAGTACTAGACTGTGCTGCACAGGGCCCCATCCAACCCAGCCGTGAACACTTTGAGGAACAGAGCATCCTCAGCCTCTGTAGGAGGTTACACTTCTGTTAATTTGAAATGTGCATCCCAGGACTCCAGATTTACTGTGGTAGGAGAAAGCAGCAGTAAAGCGTTGTCCTCAATAGTTTGCAGTTAATATAACAAGGAAATGAATTTATTTTTTGTGCTGAACAATGTAGTTAGTACCATGGAATAATATATCGCTATTTACATATATTTTCAGATGTTTGCAATGGAACTGCAACCTTTCTGCCTTTGGAGGAAAACAGCGAAGGAAAATACCGAATTAAAAAGTGCAATATATATCAAATTCAATTTACACACATAAGAGATGAGGAATGGTAAGTGCTGCAAGTGAGAGAGAAAGGAAATCCTGAATTATTGCAAGGATCACATCGTATTTTAATATTGATATCTAGGGGATTTGGTTTTCATAATTTGTGTAATTAATAAATGACTAGTGGTGTGATCTGAGTGCATGGTGTTCTATTAAACACAAAATACTAAAATCAACGTAGAAGAAATATTTTTCAGTTTTGATTATTATCTTTTTACACTTGAGGTAGTGAGATGTGTAAGTTCACTCTACTTCATTAAAGTTTTTATTTTTTAAGGTCTGTGTCTATTATAGCTCCATCTTCAAAAGATTGGTTTTCAGATGGAATAACATACCCCAAACTGTCATGGCTTGGAGATGTACTTTTGTCCAAACTGGCTAAGTGGTCTGTGAAGCAAAAATGCAGTGAGTTCAGAAGTACGCTGTCACTCATTCCTGTAGCAAAATACAGCAAGGTTTATCAAGACCTTAAAGAAAAATACAAGGAAATGGTAAAGGTAAGTTAGGTGACAAATGTGGTGACCTCATTCTTTCTTGTCACTGCTTTTTATTGTTGTTTCTTGTCTTATGAAACTGTGTCTGTCACTATTTTAAAATAAATAGCAAGTAATTTACTTGAATTGTATGCAGTATAGTTTATTGTGTTGTTTTTTCATCTTTTACTGTGTACGTAAAGGAAAAAATAATAATTTTCATAGTATTTGGAAGAACTAAACTGGAAATGCAGAATTCTGAGCCAAATTTGCGCTGAATATCATGTGGAGTCAGACATTTACCATAATGCTTGCCTTCATGTACGGAGTTAGCAGCAGATCAGTGGATGGAAATACTAAATGATTTTCGCAATTAAGCATAAATATGGCATGTCCTTCAAAGCCTCAAAGGGTCAGGAAGCACCAATAGTAGTAAGTAGGCTAAACATTTAGTACTCTATTTAAGGTAGGTGCATTGATGTATATGTCTGAGTCAGAGGAGCAGTGTTTTTAGTTTTTTATCTTGGAAACACCGAAAAATGATGATGACAATCTTTAATATTATGTGGCATAATTTGGTAGAGACAAAAGTCTAGCTATAAACGAAGAAATTAGTAAATGATCTTGTAAAACGTCAAGAACAGAACGAACTGTTCTGTTGTGCCAGGGTAATTCTATGCCCCATATGTTTTGAAAATAAATTTATGAATACTAATTTTATGTGTTTAATAGGAATAATGTTAGTGTTTTTGCTGTAAGAATTAGAATAAGCAAAATGATGTGTACTCTAATGAACAGATACAGCAGTTTACTTGAGAGCCTTAAAATTCTTGGAAACTTTACTGATTGAACAATAGCAGACTTTTTTTTTTATGCAGTTGTTTTCTGTGAATCACAAAATCTTGCAGTTTATATTTGTTTTCTGTCTATATTTTAATCAGGTTAAAATGCAAAACTTGTCAAAGTGCAGAATCCTGTTAAAGAGCTCTGGATATGCATCTTCTTTAACTGAGCACTTCTTGAAGTATTTAAAATGATTTTATTTTCATTTTTCCTCTGAAGGTATGGCCTGAAGTGACGGATCCTGAGAAGTTTGTTTATGAAGATGTTGCCATTGCCACTTATTTGCTGGTAAGGAGCTGTTTTGCTCAATAATCACAGAATCATGGGATGGATTGGGTTGGAAATGAGCTTGAAGACCATCTGGTCCCAACCCAATTCCATAGGCAGGGACACCTCCTGCTTGACCAGGTTACTCAACTTTTTCCCCTAGCTAAACTGACATATTAATAAGCAGCAATGTACCAAATATTTATTTCCATAGGTAAATATTCTTGACAATTTTTGTTACTCATAGGAAAAATAAAAGGGAAGTGTTAAGAAGCTACACATTCGTCATTGAAGGGTAAAAAGTTTTTGACATACAGAGCAGGGATCTACTCCAGGTCTTGCAGGCAGACATGCAGTTATTAAGATAACGAGTTCAAAATAGCATTATTATGTGGGAGTAAGTTCCTGTTTACAGAGCAGGGACCAGGACTGGGCTGAAAGCTCTGGGATCCCTTCAGCTGATTCAGAATTTGTGGCAGCTGACTCTTGCAAAGTAAATGAAAAATTCTTACCAAGTTGGTGGGAAATTGCACATACCAGTCTATAGCCAGTTCATTATAAAAAGAATTTTGGTTTTGATTTTCAGCATTGTCATCAGTTCTTTCTTTTATACAGTGGATATAAGCTCTTCTGTAGTATTACTTGCAGATACACTGTTGGAAGTTTGCTAGCTACTCCCCCTTTCTTCCCAATGTTAATCTCTTGGGCCATTTGTTTTATCACCTTATTTTATCTCTGTGTTCTTTGATCAGTTTCTACTTCCAGATGCTCAGGAGTGAGTGAAGGTTGTTTAGCACTTTAAAAAAAAAAAATCTTGATACTCTAAAACATGATCTCCTTCTCTCCATAAGCAGTTCTAGAGCTTGTGTTTGTTTTTTTTTTTTCTTTTCTTTCTTCCTCAAGTTGCTTTCTCTGCAAGTACAGCAACTGCGTTGTCACATCTCCTTTGTCTCCCAGCATTTTCCATTCATTGTCTGCCTTTTGCTAGGGAAATGTGAGAGTGTAAGTCAAAAAGGCTTTCTTTTCTTGTCTTAGGTTCTCTGGGAAGAAGAGAGAAAGGAAAAAGGATTGGCCAAGAAACAGTCATTTGTAGATCTGGGATGTGGAAATGGTCTACTGGTGCATATTCTTAGCAATGAAGGGGTAAATAGAGTGCATTTTACAATAATGAAAAAATATAATTCAATATTCTTGTTTTGCTTTTCTTTAATCTGGCATGCAAGTAGCCAAAATGCAGTTAATTCTTGTTATTAGAACAAGGCTTTGTTACTCTCTAGTTACCAAGAAAAAGTCTTAGCAAAGCTTTAGAAACTTTAGATTAATCAGCTGTTTTTATTAGTGCAGTGGGTTGTCCTGAAAGCTACTTATCTTTCTGAGGCAAGAAAAAATGAAGGAAATTGGAGGAAAAGGAAAAGTAGCAGTATAATTTAATCATGTTGTAAACTTATCAGAAAGAAATGGGTAGTTTTAAAGTAGAGATTCTCTTTTGCATTATCTTTTAGAGCAGATTTTTTTAAACGAATTTTATCAAAACTGAGGTCTACTCATTAAAGCCTGAAAATGTTTTTGTACGTAAAATGCAGCTCAGAGATTTCTTATATTGAAAGGTCTAACCAATAAGCTTTGTTTCTGGTAGTGCTGCTTTTTTGGCAGCAGCAAAATTCAGACTCTTGAAGCTCATGTTTTGAAACAAAAGCAGCAAAGAAGCTCTCTGCGATTCAACAGAACTCAGTGACTCAGTTGACTAAATTTCATTTAGAACTTCTGGGAAAACCTAGTAAAATTGCAGAGGAAGTGTTCATTAAACAAACTTTTATGTTCTTGTGTGACCAGACAAATTTGGTCCAGTACTGGATACTGTATTTCCCTGTGGATGTTTCTTTTTTCTACCTCATTGACAAATACATTATTGTCTATGAAAAATTATGTCTGAAAATTTCACGAGACTCATTAGTATTTAATTTGCAGTAAATATTACTACTACACAGGATTCTGAACTTCAAATACAGTTACTTAATGGATTTTTTTGTTTATAACTTAATTTCCAGTTATTCCTTTTCATATCAGCTTGTGCAAGAGAAAGTGTATTTAGACTCCGATAAATCAGTGGTTCAGATGGTTTTTTTCCAGCAAGGACTGTGTGGACTAGTGACTTTTGCCTGAAATGAAGCTGTATTTTGTTGTGTGACTGAAGAAGTCAGTGTTAACATGTAGATTTGTTTGAGAATTTCTACTAAAAATGGTGCTTAAAAATGATACTTTGTTGGTCAAATATTTCAGCACTTAGGTCGAGGAATTGACGTGAGGAGAAGAAAAATATGGGACATGTATGGACCAGAAACTCATTTAGAGGTATTATACAAATGTATGTAACTTTATTCGTTTGTTCATTGCTTCAGACTGTGTTGATAAAAAAATATAATTAAACACAGTGGATTGTAGACAATTGTCTAAAGCATTATATGACTTTGGTATAGTGCCACCCATACGTACTAGAGGTAGCTATAAGGGAGTTTTGATAGAGCAATGCTGTATCATGTTATTGCATATTTGCAGTTTGCTTATTTGCAGCTTAAAAGAATGATTTCCTATTATTTGTGCAAACATTAACACTAGGAGACAGTCCTTGATTTTACTGGAAGTACAATTGCAGACAGCTTTGTTTGCAATGCTGTACTTGATAAAATATGTTAATATCCAAAGTTGTGGATTAATAGCAGAATCACTCAGAGTGTAACTCTGATCTTGTATTGCACTGTGCTGTTTGGAACAAAAGTGCTGAACCTCAAAAGAGGCTCAACAGAAAAGAAGAGATATGGACCTTTTAGAACACGTCTAGAGAGAGACTGCAAAAACGATCGGTGGTTTGGAACACCTTCCCTAGGAGGACAGGCTGAGAGAGCTGGGACTGTTCTGCCTGACAAGAGAATGCTCTGGGAAAATCTGAGAGCAGACTTCTGGTATGTAAAGGGAGGCTATAAGAAAAAGGGGGCAGGCTCTTTAGCGGAGTCTATTGCGACAGGACAAGAAGAAATAGTTTCAACTGGACTTAGGTTGGATATTGTAAAAAAAACTTTCTCCTTATAAGGGTGGTAAGGCATTGGCACAGGTTGCCTGGAGAGGTAGTGGATGTGCTGTTCTTGGAGACATTCAAGGTCAAGCTGGACAGGGCTCTGAGCACCCAGTAGTGCTGTAGGTGTCCCTGTTCATTGCAGGGGAGTTGGACTAGATGACCTTTAAAGGTTTCGTCCAACTCATGATTCTGTGACTGTCTTCTGTACTGGCCTTGTAATTCATTGCAATCACGATCTTCAAAAAACTGGAAAGTAAAACCAGTTAGAAAGAGGGATTGTATTTAAAGTTCCTCATCCTTTTTTTTATGAGGACAGGAACAATTTGAGCACAACATCATTTGTTTGAGCTCTGTCTGATTTAGGTTTAATTCTTGTTAATGTGGTGAACAGTTGTCCTTTGGAAATGAGATGTTCCTAGCTTCTTGTTCTCTGAATTTCCAGAGTTTCTCATCTAATTCTGTTAAAGATTGTGAGCTTCCTATATAAAAATACAACCTGTAGCTATTCTCTAGTAGTTTTGCTTAAAAGTTCATTCAACAAGTTTTCAAATTCTGACAACTTAGTTCAGATCAACAGAGGGAGCAGTGGCTTTCTTGCTTTGGAAGTGGAACTGTCACATTCATTTTGTTGGAGTCTTCTCTTTGTCACTGTCATTTTAGGTGTAGGTTACCAAAACTGCCAGATTCCTTTCTTACAGTCTGCAATTAGATCTTACAAACAGCTTCAAGAAGCAATCCAAAACATGAAGCTGTAGTGCTCCTTCATTCCTTTTATGCTATATGAAGTTACTTTTGATTGTACTGAACAGTGTCTTCTCTTTTTCTTTGTTTTATATATACTTTTTCTGCCCCTTTTTTTGAATTGTGGAAATCTTTGAATTTTGTACATTCATTTTATATTAGGGTTTGACTATTTACAATTTCTCAGATTTCCTGGCACATGAAAAACTCTTGAGCAACGGTTGCTCTGCAGCATGAAGAGGGTGGGTCTTATTTGTCTTGTGTAAGGGAGAAAAATGGAATTTGTACAGAACACTTTAAAAAGCCATATAGAAACAAAAATATTCAGAATGTAGATGGAAGAAACTACTAACTTATGTGGGAGGGAGTGGCCTAGTAAGCAGGAATGATGAATTTGAATTGCTTCTCCAGCCACGGTACCCACAGAAGGAGAAAGAACCTGCTCACAGCCTTTTACCATCAGAAGTTGATATTGTTTTGATTTTAATTTAAAACATGAGTTGCAGAATAGATCATAGAATCATAGAATGGCCTGAGTTGAAAAGGACCACAATGATCATCCAGTTTCAACCCCCCTGCTATGTACAGGGTCACCAACCACTAAATCAGGCTGCCCAGAGCCACATCCAGCCTGGTTTTGAATGCCTCCAGGGATGGGGCATCCATAACCTCCTTGGACAACCTGTTCCAGTGCGTCACCACCCTCAGTGTGAAAAACTTCCTCCTAATGTCTAACCTAAACCTCCGCTATCTCAGTATAAAACCATTCCCCCTTGTCCTGTCACTATCCACTGTCGTAAACAGCTGTTCCCCCTTCTGTTTATATGCTTCCTTCAAGTACTGGAAGGCCACATTGAGGTCTCCCTTCTCTTCTCCAAGCTAAACTAGCCCAGTTCCTTCAACCTTTCTTCATAGGAAAGGTGCTCCAGCCCTCAGGTATTGCCATCCCTGGCAATCAGTGCCAATACTAACAATATAAAGGAACGTAACAAGTGTCACTCTGTATTGCCAAATTTCTGTGAGATATGTTGAATATAAATTTAATTATGGGTCGCTGTCAAAATGCAGAGTACAACATTGATGCTATGTCTAAACTGAATAATCAAAACTGAAATATAATGTAGGAGTGACTTGTTTGACAAGTGTTTATCATGCTTAGTCAAACACTTGTTTTAATGTGTACCAATTTGCTGGAAAGAAATTTGTTATGTATATTATCTGGACATCTATATGCATAAATAAAAAATGATAGAGTTGGTGCTTAATGTATACAACAGTGCACCATTTTGATACTTAACAATACCTAAACAAGTGCTTTCTGATGAGTAGAATAAGAATGGAATAGAAGTTGACTGATACTTCTGCAATTCCCTGTTAACTTTTTTGAATTCCTGTGAGTGACTAAGATGCTGAAGGCTAAAGCTAAGATGCTAAAGACTAAAGCTAAGATGCTAAAGGCACTTCTGAGCTTCTTAAATTTGAACTGAGGAACTTGTCCTGTGTTTGGTGAGTTTTGTGGTTGTGGGGATTTTTTTGTTTTGTTTTTAAATTTTAAAGAATAGCAGAATAGGGTATTTTTTGATACTAGCAGCCATTCTTTGAGTCAATAATTTAGTGTCAAGAGGTGGTGTCTCCTTGGTTCTGTGCACTGAATTCTCACAAGTAGAATGCTACTGTAAAGATCACCAGTGAATCTTTCTTTCCTAACATATTGATTCCTATATTTGCTCCTGATATCACGTGTATCATAAGGCAGTTCTAACACAGCTTGGACAAGAATGCCAAGACTGGCAACATATGCACAAGAGGTGTTAGGCTGGATTGGTTCTATTATTCATGAAGCGTGGTATTCTGTATAGTGAGATTTAATTTAGGAAATGCCTTTGAAAGAGGAGAAGATAGTAGGGAAGCTATGATTAATTAATGACCTAGGTCTGTAAGACATAGCAAAGGGAGTAGGACTCTGAAAATACATGTAGCAGAAATGAATGTGACAAGTAGCAAGAAATCATAAGTGATGTATGATATTTGTTTACATATATTAAAGATGCCAGTTTTCTTCATCAGACTTATTATTCTGCTCTGTGACTAGTATTTTGTGGATTATTGTTGCCAGATTCATCTTTTGTAGCTCTAAAAAACTAGTGCCTGGCAAAAGTACAAATTGTAGAAAATACTGTTCTCTTCTGTGTTTCTCATTCCCCCTGTGTTTTTCTGCTTTTAGGATTTTACATGGTTGCTTAGTGCTTTATTAACAAATAGAATTAAACTTTTATTAAATTTCTGTTGTTTTTGTTTGTTTGTTTGTTTTTTTTAAAGGAATCTTCTATCGTGCCAGGTGACAGTCATCTCTTTCCAGATACTGACTGGCTGATAGGAAACCATTCAGATGAATTAACGCCATGGATACCTGTAATTGCTGCCAGGTATTTGCTGGGGAAGCAGGAGGGGTGGAATTTAATAGAAATATTATTTGCTATGCATGCTTGGTGAAGTGGGGTTACAAAAGAAGCAGTTGAGTTGTTCTTGCAAGATTTGCTTCTTATGATGGCAATTGATTGTTTTTTACAAAATGTTTCTGTTTTCCTGTGGAGAAACATGGAAGTTGTATTTATTTTATCATAGAATTCAGTGTAGCATTCTGCTTTCAAATTTCAAAATGAATTTTGTATTTATTTCTCAGATGTGAAGTTTGTTTAAAAATAAATTAATTGCTGTTGATCTGCATTTCTTTGTTCTGCTGTAGTAGTTTGATGCCTAGAGATTTATTCCTGCAAAGTTGGCACAGTGACTTACTATAGCAAATAACATACCAATAAATATCCTGAAGTAGTATCACCTAAATATAATTTCTTGAAGCTCTGTCACTTCATAAAACTTTACATCAGTGCTTTTATCTGATAGGCTATTTCTTAAATTTGTGTGTTCTTGAGAATAACTTTCCATTTAGCAGTTCACTGTCCTTCTTGTAGGTCTTCCTATTTGTGTAGGTACTTTGTGCTGCCATGTTGCTTCTTTGATTTCCATGGAAAATACAGCCGAAGACAAAGCAAGAAGACTCAGTACAGAGAATATCTTGATTTTGTTGCTGAAGTGGGACGTGTCTGTGGTTTTCATGTGGAGGAAGATTGCCTTAGAATTCCATCAACAAAAAGGGTAATTTTGGACTGACAGGTTACAATCTGAAATACAAGAGAGAATGAAATGGTTTGTGGTTATTTACTGTATACTTCTCTGAAGGATGGAAAACTCTTCCACTTTCTGCTTTAATTTTTCCATCTGCCAATATTGGTTACTTGCACTTAGCTTTGTAGGTTTTCTTATCAAGAATTTCAAAGTGAAAAGCAGAAAGAGGTGTTCAGCTTTATTTTTTTTTTTAAATAATCTGTCAGATCATTTAAATGTTTGGGGCTGTGCTTGTATGGCAGAATGTATTATGGCTTGGCTACTGGGTTTCTTCTGTGTCACCAGTGTTTAAAAGCTAAAACTAGAACTAAATAAATAATTTTAAAAAACCCTCAGATGTTAATGAGCATAGAGTTCCAATGGATATCTGGCAGTTAGGTGTAGAAACCTGTATAACATATTTTGGTTGTTGACTGAATACTCTGATGTAGGAATTAGACTGTATAAATGCTGCAGTATAAATAGAGATGTGTCTGTTTCTGCTAAGATAGGTGTGCCTTATTGGAAAAAACAGGATCTATCCACCTACAGAACATTCTTTGATGGGTGAGCAGATAAAGCAGTTTATTTGTAATCGTCAGACCTGTGCTGTGGTTGCACGTGACAAAGAAGATGGATTTAATCATAACGATCACTCTGTGTGCAGAGGAGCAAGCTCAGAACTCCCTGAAAATGTGATGGAGACTGCTAATGGAATTTGGATGCCTGGATTTCAACCCAGAGAAAAAACAGAACAAACCAGAAATTGTGCTGCCCTCCCTCGGGATTTTGTAGATGGTGTTGTTCTGAATGTGGCAAACTTGCTGTTAAATGCTGTCCCTGCAGGATCATGTTCTAATACGCGTGGTGGAAATAACAATACCTGGAATCAAGGAGGTGAGATAGTCTTTCTAGCATTGCTCCATTGCCTGTTGCTTCTGCTGGCAGGGGATGTATTTTCTGATGAATTTATGGTTGTAAATTTGGCAAGTGAGATAGACTTTAGGAAATACTGTGAACAGTGTGTAGGAACAGTTAGGTTACGACCTGAGCCAATGATTACCTCTTGAAAGAATGTAGCCAGCCTTTGGAAGCATAGATAGAAGCAATTCACCTGTGTGACTGGAAGGACCCAGGGTCCACCCTCCTTAACCTCATTTAAGGGCTGGCAGCCACAGGGGAAGCATCTCTGCTTGGAGATCACCTCCTTTGGAACGCTCAGTGAGCACTGATCCTCAGAAAGGATAAGCTGTTCCTCCTGTATTACTGGATTGTAACTGCTGCCTCTCTTGGGTGATCCAGAACTGTTTGAAAGGAACTATGTATCTACTGCTTCCTATCCTTACAACAGTATTGTAGCAAAGTTTTTGTTTTTGTTTTTTTTGTGGTGTTTTATTGCACCCTGGAGTGCAAATAAGGTGCGTAAGTGTATTCTGAAACTTCTTTTGTTTTTCTTTTACTCAATACTTACATACTAGGACAGAATCAATTAAAAAAAAAAAAAAAAGAAAACAACAAAGCTGTTCAGAAACATAACTTTGCATCTAGATGGAAAGGATTTGAAATATATTTTTGGATAATAACTTGGTATAATTCTCTAAGAAGTGTTTTGATGTGCCATTTTTTTTCAACAAAATGAGCAATTTTTAGTTGTCTTAGCCTTAGAATGAAAAGAAGTTGCTGTTTGTTTTATAAGCGGTCAGTAAGTTCTGTTTTCCTGCATCCATTTCATTATTTACTTGCTGTACTTTGTTATATATTGTTATTATAGAAAAGCCTTTGAGTCCTTTTCTTTTTACTACGTTTGTACAAAAAGAATGCTTGGCACAGTGAAGATTGTATGTTACTGAAGAGGGGAAAAAAGAAGGGAGGACACAAATTCTGACTTGAGCGCTGTTGAATGAAAACTGCCATTTTACAGACTACACACATAGAAAACATACATTTTATATTTGTGAGGTTGAAAGCACAGAGTTGCTGCAGTACTTACAGGTAATTCTTAGGTTCTATTTCGTAAGCAATAATTTATGCAGAAGTTAGGGCTTACTAGGAATTTAGTTACATACATTTTTATAGCTACACCACATCTATTGCAGAAAGCCTTTCCTTGAAAGAAGTAGCAGAACGTTTAAATAAGGAGACTTTAAAGAGACTGAAAAGTGAATATGGAGGCCTGCAAACATTGCTCAAGAACAATCATCAAGTATTTGAAGGTAAGGAATAAACAGGCCTTTTTTTTGTTTGTCTTGGCTTTTTTCAATCATCAGTTCTACTCCTCCTATCCAGTTAAACTTGACTGAAAAGTCTTAAATTTCAGTCTAGATTCTGAGCGTTTTAGTTTAAATTATTTTAATGGATTTTGGTAAACAAAAACCCAACCTCTATAAGCACCCACCCTCTATGAAGATGCTAAAAAGATGCCTCAGCATGATAGTAAAAACATCTCACAGAGAAATAAATTATTTTTCTTTAGATTATCTCTGTTACTTCAGTTTCTTATGTATTACTTTCTTTTTCTATATAAATGGTACATTTAGTTTTGTCTGAGTGATCCATTTGTTGAAAACATGTTATTGGCTGACTGTCACTATGAATTTTTTCCAGTACAATTCCCATGGCTGTATATTAACAGCTGAATTTGTGTTTGTTTTTTAATCTTAGTGCTAGATGGGAGAGTTCATATTCGTGACTGGAGGAAAGAGAAGCCATCAAGGAAAACTAAGCCTGAAGTAAAACGATGCCTTTCAGCTGAAGCATTTAAAACACGTCTCTGTTGGTTTTTCATTCATCATCCTGACGGTTGTTCTTTGCCTTCTGAATCTTGTCCATATGCTCATGGGACTGAGGAGCTAAGACAGTCTGAGACTATTAAAAAGAAAAAACAAATACAATGATAAAATGCTGCCACTTATGTTGAAGCTTGTGTACAGAAGTGTATTTGATTGACTTTGGGACTGCTTAGTGCATGAGAACCTGCAAAATTTGGAGGTTTCTCTTCTTGTTCCAATCTATTTTATTCTTCTAGTTAGTTTGCAAGTTCTCCTATATTTTAGTTTCTGTAACATTTATATGAAAAGATTATAGTAAAATGTCTATACTTCTGGATTTTGTTTGTTTTTCTTTAATATAAAAAAACATACCATTCCTTCTTTCTCTCATACTGGTTCAAAATGATTATTGATTTGATGAAAGCTTTCTGAGAAATTGTGAAGGTTAGAACTTGGAACTGATTACAGGACAAATCTAAGGTTGAGTGAGTAATGCATCTGAGAATTCTGTAAGAACACAAGGAATCTGAAAAATGAAGGAAACAATTGAAGCCCAAGCAGAGGAGCAGTGAAAGATGAAACTGGAAAAATTTTCAGAACAGTTTCAAAGCCACTTTGTTTACTTCCTTGCCTTTCAGATAGCAGATTGCAAAGAACTCTCAGAAGTGTTGTGTTCCCCTCCTCTCCTTTTATATTTCTCTTCTGATCTTGGAAAAAGATAACTAACCTAACAATTGCAGTAAGTCATGTGTTACATTATCTACTGTGCTGTGTGTGCACTGCTCCCTTACCTTCCTCTAACGGGCGGTTTTTGACTGAGCCTTTCCCAAAGGCTCTGCAATGGCGTATAGACATCTTGACTGTAACACTAATCGTTACCTTGTTACACACATTACAGGGCATAAACATTTTAAAGGAGAGAAACTTTATACTTTGAGGGGTATTTGAATGTAGTTACGTTGTTGGAATAAGGGGAAGGAGAATAAAGTAAAGTACAGCTCTCAGGAGCAGGACAACACAGTAAGGTGATATGTAGTTCCTGTTGTAACAATTTCTGAAAAATGGTTTGCTTAAGAAGGGCATGAGTTAAAAAAGACATGGAGTTACGTATATATTACTTGAACATAATTGAGTAATATTGTTGCCTTGGCTTTTGTTTGGCTACTTGCAGAGTAAGAGGAGCTCCTGGAGACGCTTACTTACTAGTATGTTTGGTGACTCCTCCAGGCGAAGATTTCGTTTCCACATGTAAAAACCAGAAACAGACTTTAAATTATTTTCCAGTTATTGCCATCTTCCCTGATGATTCCTGCTGTGGTACAATGTGTTTGACTAAAAATGTGATTTCCTGAATTAGAATTCACTCATCTGTGCAGACTTTAAGTCAGATGGATTTGCATTATGTTGGGATTCAGAAGCTGAAAAGGATTGTTTTTATTTCCTTGTTTCCGATGAAGGGAGAAGAAATACACACCTGACTGACTGAAGTTGAAGTTGCTAACACATGCTAATACTCTAGTGTTTTAAAACTGCATTTTGTTTGTGCAATGCTATGCTAACTAGCATATTAATATATTAGTGTAGCACATTATTTCCTTTGAATAGTCTTTGTATTCTAAACTCACCAACATATAGATCTGTCTAAATTCTTGATCGCTGTTCTCAGTTTGACATCACTGCAGGTGGCCAGCCGTCCAACGAATCTGTAATTACAGAGCCTTGTTTGTTTGGAGAATTGGTAATAGAATGTTCTTTCTCCTTATTTTTGTATAGAAATGTTAGCTTTATGTAAGTTTAAATATACATCTGAAGGTAAGTGCTAAAAGCATAAAAAAGTATTTTATATGATTACTGTATCTTGTTGCTTTCTCTATGATCCACAGTCTTAGAAGTCATTAACATAATATTCAACTTTGGCGATAAACGAAGGCCAGTAGTGGATGAAAACCCTTAATAAAAACCTACTTACACAAGGGGTTGAGCCTGAAGTCTCAGTCATTGATTTGACACAGTCATTTTGCTGCCTAGTTTACTGCCATCACTACCCATTAGTAAATTTGGCTTTACTTGAAACCTGTCATTGTAGAGGGAAAACAGTTGCTGTTATTGATAGTCACAACACACGTAGACAGGAGAGTTAGATGACAGATTACAATCATAGAAATGCTGGTAGCTGAAAATGTTATAAATGCAGGTGTGGAAGAGTTACATTTTCATAAAATCTACAGATAAATATTCGGCATAAGAAAAATCTGAATGGTTCCTCTCTTATACCTCAGTAAAGGACTGAATTTTACTGGAATTTTGACTGAAAAGACTGAAAGTTACTGAATGTAACAAATTAGAAGAGATTGTTTTTCCTTTTGGAATATCTATATGCATCTTCAGAAGGCTTCTCTGGCACATCTCAAGCCAGTTAATTTTTCTGTGTTTGTATCATTTACATTGTTTGTTTATGAAATTACTGTGTATGCTTTATTATCAATTATTAGGCTTAGATTATTAGATTATTAAAGCCTTAAGCTTTTAGAGGATGTCTGTCAGCTTGTCTAACAACAAATATGGGCCTGAAAGTATGCCAAGTTTTGGGGCTTGTTTATTCAGGTTCAGAGTTTTAAATGATAATGCTTCAGTGATCTTGAGGATGTGATTTTTGTAAGCTGGATTCTAACTTAATCTAGCAATATAAAATAAGCAAGAGTTGAGCAATCATGAGCTTTGCCATCATAATGGCAAATATTTCAAATCAGCAGAAACAAAGAATAAAATCTGAAGAAACAAGGACCACGTGCCAGCGGCATCAGATACTGGGACGAGTTCACTAATGTATGTAAACATCTAGCATCAGCTGCAGTCAGACATGCACACCTGCTTGGTTATGTTTTGTTACTGCTGGTAATTTGTATGACTGAAGGAGTATTTTCAAATAAATATTGCAGTTATTAGGATATTATCCTGGAATATAATGCCCTCATCTTATTACAAGGTATACCTTTCACAATCACCTTTACTGACTGTTGTATCATGCTGCGTCTGAGAGAAGCGTCTTAAAATTTTCCTTTGGAGTTTTGGTGTATTTCCTCTCCTGAAACAATGGTTTCATGATTAGGCTTTATGAATTGTGATTCTTGTTGTCTGATTCTTATTTGGACCTGCTGAGTTTGTGTAGTTCCTTCCTGGTATAACTTCATATTTTTCAGGTAGACATACTTCACAGTGCTCAATTACTTCCTACAATTTCTGCTGTAAGTAGCTTCTAATGGAGTGCTGCTAAAATTCTACCAGATGAAATCTGCTTAGCAATCACAACCCAGTTCTATTCTTCCCTGCCCAGTTTCATTATAATAGCTTTCAGCAACTCTAAGTAGGTGAGTATAACTTCAAATTCTTTTGCAACATGAGCGTCATGGCAAATCTCTGTAACAGCAAAGAAGGATGTTAATAATTCAGGAATCACTGAATCCATCTGCATTAACCTCCCAACAAATCACCTTGTGCTCCTTGCAAAACTGCATAAGGACTCAGCAAATTCAACCCTACCCATATTATGTGGTGGTGTGCATGCTGTTGAAGCTGCGTGTACCTGCCATGTTTTGAAAACACAGTCTGTCAAGCTGCCTGTTAGTCGTGTTGTTTGACAGCTAGCCAGGCACTGTGTACAAAAACAAAGCAATCTTCTCCCAGAAAGCCTGCCCTGGATTTTGAATGCTTTGGTGACTGCTTTGCTATAAAAGCAATTAACTCTCCTCACTGCTAATTGATACTGTGTGGAGTGTGTACATAATACTGTAAAAGCTGTGACATTACAGCATTTTACTTCAAATTCTAGGCTTCATATAAGTGTTTTTGAATGCAATGAATAAACATGGAACTGAGAGAGGAAGAGAAAAATCATTTTTTTTTCTTCTTAGGGACAAAATATGGAGACAATAAAGAGTTTTCAATTTGCCTAGTTTTTGGCAGTAAAACATGTTTGTTTTGTTGTTTTTTAATTTTTCTTTGGATGCATGACTTCTCCAGAAATTATTTTACTCTGCAGCTACCTTCACTGGCCTTTGATCCATTATGAAGCACAGAACAAGTATTGCTGTCATCATCTCTATTTTACTGTGTAACAGTATGGGTTTCATCATTGTGGTCCTTTCTTTCTTTCTTTTCCTTCTTAATTTCTTTCTTTTTTTTTTTTCTTTTTTTTTTTTTTTTTTTTTTTTCATCTGCTGTATTAAATGTTTTGTGAGGTTGTTTCAGAGACTTCATACCAGTAGTGTATGCATCACATCACCTATTAGCAGTGTCTGATAATGCTGTGAACATTAATATTGACCCTTTCTGTCCAGTTTAGTCCAGCAGCTATTCTTTCTTCTTTTTGGAATCTAAGCAGATACGAAATGCTTTCACTGAGTGTCGTTTTCTGCTTTTTGAAGAACTTTAACAGCTTTTTGTCCTTTCTTTTGGTGTTTGAGTGCATTGTTTCTGATCTCACTTCTAACAGTAAAAAATAGTACAGAAAGACTTTATTAATAAGCTATGGAAGTACCTACATGTGATTCATTGAAGTCAGATGTTCTTGTGTAGGTGCTGTGCTGCTTTGCAGCATGGCCAGCAGGTGGAGAAAGTGAAAAAGAAAGCTATAGTCTGTCAGCTCCTACAGCGGCTGCAAATGCTCTGGCTCGAAAGAGTTTGGGATTGCTTCTTGCAGTGATTGGAAGAGTAATTGTGTTGTCAGGTGATTTAAGTAACAGATTACTTCATCGCTCATCCAAGGTACTATATTTTTCTCTTGAAAATCTAATTCTCATACAATTCTCTCTAGGATCTTTCTTCTGTATGATTTTAATTGTACAAGCAAAATTGCATTAGTAAATTTTTAGTACGTTAACACTAAATTGTGTTATTTTCATAATTTTCATGATTAGATAGAGGGCAGTAGATTATTTCAAACCTTTTTTGCAGTCTGAAGTGCAGATCATTATTAAAGAAACTAGATATGTAAGTGATGTTGCACAACATTATTATTCCTCTGAAATATTGTTTTCTTTCCTGAAAATGCCTGTACTGTTCTAGGTCTTGCAGCGGATGAATAAAGAAGGTCCAACTCTTCTCCAGTGGTGAGTAAGGAGGTTCTGAACTGCGCAATGATTACTCCTGATAGAAATGTCACACTATTACCTTTTTGAAGGCCTCTTGAAACATCTTTAGAGGCCAAAACAGGAAAATCCTGTACAGTTGTATAATTTAGTGTCTCCCCAGGAATCCTTAGGTGAAGAAATGTGTTTATGGTACAGTTAAGTGTCTTTGTGTCTCTCCTGTGGCAGCATTTTAGCAATACCCCAGAGAAAGACTGACTTCCCAGTAGAAAGATTCTGACTTTAAATGCTTTAAACCAGCATAAAAGGCGTTTGATATGACATCACATCAATGTCATGTCACTGTCAATCTGGAAGCAGGGTCATGGAACTGTGCTTCAGTGCATCACAGCTGAAATCTGACCCTCGGTGATTGCTTGACAACAGGGGAGAGGTACCTCCACAGCTGGAAGGGAAGCTCCACAGCTCCCATGCTTCATTTATTTATAGCCAGCTTCTGGTATGGGAGAAAAATGTCAAATCACCTCTCCTATATACCTGCCTATGTTAAGCTTTACATAATCCTTTACATGATTGAATGAACCATTTTTTAAGGCCCCTGAAAGCATTGATCTTTCTGTTAATTTCTTTGAGATGCAGGATCAGACCTTGATGCAGGTTCAGGTTCCTTTGGACACCTTTGCTGCCGTTACTCATCTATCTCTGCATTCCCCCTCTGCACTTCAGTTGATTACAGGCTCAATTTTATAAAATCCAGACATATTTTGTAATTTTTGTCAACAGGCGCTCAGCTTTGTCTGGAAACACTATTCTTAAATGTGTGCACTTAATGGGAAATGGTTCTTTTCGTTGTGTTCCTTTCACAAATGGTGATTGTCACTGTTTAATCAGCAGTGAAACAGAATTCAGCATTTTCATACAATTTTGTTGAATAGAAGACTGTTATTTCTGATGAAAGAAACAGGGTATGCCCCAGCTAATTCTTTAAAGTACTTTCATCTGTGGATCATTGTTATGTCTTCTGTAGGGTCAGGATGAGTCTGCTGCTCCTTGCGTAGGAACTAATTTCTTCCAGGCATTGTGACATTTTGCAGATAGCAATGTCTACACCTGTAGAGAGAAAAAGAGAGAGTCAGCTATGTGTTCTTGGCAGAGAAACCTATAGGTTGCTTTTCCACCTCTAAGTGCATATTGAAGAGAAAGGGATAAAATAAATCTCAGTAGGAGAGAGCACAACAGAAGGTTTATAGAGAGGATGAAAAGCAGAATTGCACTTGTATTCCTTGGATCTTTCAGAAAGAAAGAACTGCTGCCTACATTGCAAATATATGTCCACAGGAATAGTTCTGGTTGCTGACTGACACTGAAAATAGAGATACTGTACTTGTTGTCACTGAATATGTCAACTGCTTCGTCATTTTCTTCTAGCAAGTGGAAAGTGCGCAGGCAGAGATGAGGTCTGTGTGCTCAATTCTTTTAAAGACTTTTTTAATAGAGTACGTCAAGCAGACATGAACAACTCTTTTTTGACTCTTTAACTGTCAGAAGCAAGCGTATACTAGAGGCATAAAACTGTCTCTTTCAGAAAAGAGAAGCATAGCTGCAATGTAGTGTTCCTCTGTATAGAAGCGTCCTTCACACAAATCCAAGTTTAGGCAGGAGCTAAGCGCATGGACCCAGGCTCTTCTCAGCAGTGCTCAGTGACAGGACGAAGTCACACACTGGAACACAAAGTTCCGGAGGAATATGTGCAAGTAATTC